AAAACTGTTTTTGCGTGTGTCTTGTTGCGTAGATTTTGAGATTTTAGGGTTGAGAAGAAGGGGATGCAGTGATGAATAAATGGAATGTGGACTAGAGTTTCAGATCTGGATTTCTTCCCCAGAAGTTGAAGATCAAACCCTTGGTTGTCTGAGTATTCCCTTTTTTAGATCCAGTTTCTGTGTTGCCCATTATCGTATATGGGTATGGCCTGTGATGATAAAATAACTATCTTAGCGGATTTTATTGAGGTTTTCAATCAATGATCTAAAATAACTATCTCTGGAATCGTTGTTCTCCGTCGATGCCTCTCCGGCTCTCGGGATGGGGATATTTCTAAATCCTCGGTGTTGTTGGCCACCGGCAGAAATTCCCAGCAGATTCCGACAAAGATATGCGGAGCTCATTGTTGCAATTGTAGGCTCCAGAGAAATGCTAGGCTGATCTGGCCTTAAAGGAGAGTGGAAACCCAAAAATGCCATAGAAGGAATAAGAATTTGGAAAAAAAACCTTCATGTCTTCAACTCGGAAATTTGACCGGAGAAGAGAATGAACCTGGGAATGAACCCGGTTTACTATTCAATCGGGTCGATTAAACACGGTTTCTCGAAAAATCGAGAATTGCATACGTTGCACAAACTTTCTGAGTTGGCTCGACACATCACGCGCCACGTCGGATAGGTCAACACGTTTTTTTGACCAATTAACGCCGAAGACGGTTTTGGAATAACAAATTCAGTAATTACCATATTCAATTTTGCAAGTTCGGGAATTAATAGGCACCTCTGCAAGTTTAGAAATTAATATTATACTACATTACAAGTTCAGGAATTTTGAGGATTTTTACCTTATCAAAATAATGAAGATGGCAGATTTGGTGTGAAGAAATATTCACTCAAGAGAAAATCTTGTAATTGACTTTAATCACTAGATTCATACCAACCTAGACACCCTTACATTCCTTTTTGCCGGAAATTTGTTGATTTATTTTCTTTTTTCTCTTCAATACAGTCGTTAGATGTAAGCCTATTCAAGGCATAGTATAGGTCTGAACGTATAATCAATATCAATGGAGACAATTCTCCTTTTCATCATATATTCTTTCTTGGATTCATAAACTAATCACTCCTTTGGTCTTATTGAATTATTTGTTATTACGTTTCTACCTTGATTCAATCACAAACACATAGAAATCTATATGGTATCAGAGCAAGATCCATGGTGACCAACTATTCTCTTTTCCGCTGCATAAATTTTAATATATATATATATATATCCCTCTTGTCCAATAGACACCGCACGAAGCCTTAGAGAATAGGATCCAGTCAAAAACCCTGTTTCGCGATTTTCAGTATCAGAATGGGAATAGGACTCTTGGGAGCCGCCCTAGGATTATAAAAAACACCTAGCCACGTCCTAGTACAGAGGGGAGCCTTAGAGAATACTTAGATACAGATTTTTGGAGAGCTTTTGGTGAGAGAAGAATAGAAGTTCACGGGATTTCGAGAAGAAGAAGGAAGATTCGACCGTGGAGACTACACATCTGCATGAGACTTTCTTTCCTCTCTTTTTATCTCTTTCTTTATGAGCTTTTTATTGTTTTCCATGAACCGTGAGTAGATCCACGACTATGGGTTAGGGATTCGTTTGTGTTTTGGGTATGTTTGAACCCTAACTTGGATTTCGGTTTTGATTTGTTTCGGTTCTATTGATTTGCGCTTTTATTGGATTGATGCTTGCTAACCCCTTGGTCAATTATCTTAGATTCTAAACTACATAGAGATATGAGTTGGTTTCGGATCAAAATCAATAGGATAGGTCGTATTATTCACATAGAGATATGGCTTAATCGATCTAGGGTTGATGATAGCGTTCTTTATGCACCTAGGGTTAACTCGAATAGATCGAGAGATTGACGAGTTACTCTGTAGGTAGAGAGTTAGTAGACCGAGAGGTGAATTCTCTATCTTTGTTGCTTGATGATTCCCGAAAACAAGTCATAATCGTTATTCTCGCATGCTTAGCATATACCCATACACGCGAATACGATCCCGACACCCGTAGTCATCCTTGTTTGATAGGTTACTCGTTTTCATTGCTTTCTCATTCCGTTTTCCATAGATTCTATATACTTCCATCATCACGTGCTTGCTTGCTTTGATCTATTTTCGATTTAGATTTGGATTTAGCAACCGGTCATCGTGTTCGACCCCGTGTTACGACGATCCGTATCCTTGCGGTGAGTTGTGAATCGGGTTATAGATTTTAGACTCGGTACACACATATCAATGCCTATACATCCACAACGTGAGGGGAAATATGTGATAATACTCTCATGTGTGTGGTTGATGAGGCGTTGAATGAACAACCTAACGAAGAGGACGAAGAAGAAATGACATAAAACGAAAAAGTTGAGCACTCGGGAGAGTTAGAATTGGATTGCTCAAACAACGAAGAAGAAAGGAATCAAATAGAGTTCGTGAAGGATCATAACCTACAAACAGAGGCAAAGAACCTTGAAAATGAGGCGTCGCCTATGGAAAACAGTCTTGTTCCTTTCGTTATTCCCAAAGCAAACCTGAGCATGCACTTTCAATACATCGAAAATAGAGTTTGTCATTCATAGTCCAATTCATTTTGAGTTTGTTATTCCTAATGATATGTTTGGTATTTTAAGTGTCTTTGGACAGCAAATAAATAACACATTCATGAGGGAACGTCGAGATGAAAAACAAACACTCACGGATACAAAGGAGGTCCATGTACGACGACGAACACCAATGCATGGAAAAATGACCGACAAACACGTAACATTACCTATGAGTTTCAACAACTCTAAGATTGGTAAAAACACTCTCAAACCTTATATCTTTTATCCCGAAAAACATATACATGTGTTGCATAATGAATAAGATATATTTGTCCGAAACACATTTGACCATTAAAAGGATACAACTGACACGCTTTTAGAGTTCAATGAAAATTTGAGGGATGTGTTTTATTTAAATACAGAACCAAATGTGAATCCTATCTTACAAATAATGTTTCATGTGTCAGGATCATCAAACCTAGTATTCATACATGTTAGGACATTATTTTTACTATTGTTCGATGAAAAGCACATTATTACATGTTTATTCTCGGTATACCGTATCAAACGGAGGGTCAAGACCTCCCTAGCGTTATCTAATACTTTTAATGAGTTTGTACAGAAAATAAAATTTAAAGGGACGTGTGTAATGGTGGATAAGCCAAAAAAACTGCCATGGAAAACGATTTGACGTTTAAGGAAAAACCGATGCATGTATGGACACATATACTTGGAAGATTGGCTTCTTGACACCCGAATCTAAATCTTTGGCTCGAACTAGGATTTGGACCGGATCGGGTCGGTCCAATTGACTGCTATGAAACACTACAGCCAAATCATCCATCATAAATCGAATTTAGAAGTTGAATAGAATATTGACGTAACAACCATATATAAATAGCAACGTGCATAATTCTAGAATTTATTGCTAGACCAGTTCAATGTACGAAAATTTTATAATTATTTATCACATGATTGAATTGAACTAACGAGACTAGCTTCACCAAATTTAATAAATAAAATAAAATATCATTTAATCATAAGATTCGTATATATACAGTTGGGTAATGTATTAATAGCGTTGTCATATATCAACAATTTGTCCATAAAATCAATAACAACAAACTTTTATATGTCTCTACATATTATTATTTTTCCTTGCAGTAACTAAGGATAAATATAACATACTTTTATCAAATCACGTATTATTTATACACTACATCTTTAATGTTCTAACCAAAAAATAAATCAAGGAAAAGTTTACTTAATATGTGTGAATTTTTCCAAAAGTTTTAAATAAATACATAAATACTCCTGAAATTTTTTAAATCTATAAACCCAAATTTTAGAAATACAAAAAATACATAACCTTTATATACATGTATATATATACACACACACATCACTTCGACCATATAGAAAAATTAATAGGAATGAAAACTCCTTGGCAAGATATCATTCAAGATTAATCTATGTTAAAATTCCATGTTTATAATTTTTTTTTTCAAATATCTTGATTTTTTTTATGTTGGTATGATTTATGAAAAAATTTTAAAATATGTAATATTATTTCTTTATTTTTCAAATAATAATTTATGAACTTATAGTATATTTGATGTACTTAATAATTTAGAAGGATTTACACATATCGCTTCAGTTTTTAAAAATAAAAATCAGGGAGACATTGTTTCTAACCGTAATTAGAAAGTGTCGTGGACGAGTGATCAAATTTGGGATGAGAGGTAATTCCATTTTGAAGTTGAGTATTCGATTCCTAACTGGTAGGAAGGGAGGTAATTTCTGAATCTATACAGTCCATATACAAAGACTGCTTTTGGATCGGAGGTTTACCTACTCAGCACGTCCGAAGTGTAGCAGTTAGGACTCCTCCGTCGTCAAAGAAAAAATAAAAAAATTAGGAAGTGTCGTGGTTTAAGGTCCGTTATGTTAGGGTTTGTAACTTTGTTACACGATTTCGGCCCAAGCCAGAAATTACAACAAAGGGTACTTTCGGAATTTCATTTAACTAAACCAGCCAATGAAAAGATGGTTGTAGTAGCACTAAATGTAAGATAACCGTAGAGAATTATAACTTCTATTTTCCAATCAAAGTTTTTTTCTTTTCTTTTTTTTATTATTCCGGCTTAACGGCGGGAGCAACTTGTGCTAACTGTTTTATCTTAGCCGAACTAGGGAGATCAACCAATGATAAGTCGAAACGTGTAAGACGCTTATCCGAGCAGCGCCGCTCTTTTTTTTTCTTTTTTTTTTTAAAACGCAAGTGACCCCTTCGCCACATGAAAAGGCAAAGGAGATAACGAGAGAGGGAGAGAGGAGGGATCTGACCGTTCGTTTATCTCTTTCAGATCCAACGGCTAGGTTTTGTTGGCAGTATCACCCGGTCAAAGTAATGTGAAAGCCACTATATTATTGACACGTGTCGGTGTCAAGCCTCCAATACGACAGCTAGAAGACCAACCGGATTACCTGGAATCGCCGGTGGCCAACCACATACCAAACCAGACGATTCCTTGTCTCTCTCTCTAGAAAGCTTGGAATTCTTTTTCCTCCTCAAATAATTGTCATTCTGTGTTTTGTTTTCGCCCTTTAACGCCATTACTTTTTTCTGGGTTTCGAGGGTTACTTCTTCGAAGACGATCTGACGGTGAGAGAAAGCAAGGGCAAAGGAGAATCATCATTGTTCATCTGCGAGAAAATTCTCTCAGCTTTTTTTGGTGCGTCAAAATTTTCTTGCTTTTCCTGAATTATCTATTTGTCCCCTCTTGTTTTTCTTTGGGATTTGCTTGATCTCATCGATTCCTGGGTCTGTTTCTATTCTAAGAGCACGATTACTTGCCTAATCCGCAGAAATTTCTGAACTTTGTGATCTGGGTCTCGGGATTTGTTGAAGTTCACGAACCCTAGTCAGGGTTTCGATCGTATTTTCGGATGAGAAATTGTTTGATCTGGAATAGGCAAGATCATTATTTGAGCAAAATAAGCAAGATCACGATGCCCTTTACGTGGTTTGGTTGAGAACTTGATTTGGTCTATAAATCGAAGTTATAGAAGCTTGGAGATTGGTTGGAGTTGTTCGGTTTCCTTCTGTTTGTTTCGTTTGCTGAATCTGCTACTGCTACTAAACGCTGTGATCAGGATCGAAGATTTTTTGTGTCTGGGCATTTCTCTAATCATTTGGTTGGCTTTGGGATTGATCTCTTGGGAGGAAGGTTCTCTAGTACTTGAAGTAGTCATTAGCTTCCAATTCGGTCCATATCCTGACGTTTGTGGCTCGGGTAATTTGGATCTGTATAAGTTGGTTTGCGTTCGATCTAAGATCTGGTGTCAGCAAGAGAAGTCACTGAAGGAAACAGCCTCAGGTTGTCAAAGAGGACCGTTGTTGTTGATTGCTCACAGCTTATATGGTTGAGAGGAGGACATGGCAGCGGGTATGGATTTTTCGCCTCTGTTAACAGTGATAGAAGGTGGTTTCAGCAAGGACAATGTTTCCGCATCAGAAACCGAGAATTTAGAGAGTTTGGATACCACAAACAAAATCCCCAATGGCAAACCTCCGAGGCATCTTTCTGCCATGCATCACTGCATGAGCTCTACTCGGTTGCAGACTGCGGTCAATGTGGTATGCTATAATAGGTCCTGGAGTTTGACTTTACCTGTTTCGCTTTTTTCGGTTCAACCTAACATATGTAATCGGTTTTATGCATTGTTTCCAGGATTTGGATGTTGGTACTTTGGTTATAAAGTCGCCTTCTGATGAGAAATCGGAGTTTTTGCCAGTATACCGATCAGGAAGTTGCGCTGAACAAGGACCAAAGCAGTATATGGAAGATGAACACATTTGCATAGACAATCTTGGTGAGCATCTTGATGAAAAAGTGGAATTCTCGTCTCCTGGAGCCTTCTATGGGGTGAGTTTGGCTGTTATGCTCAAAAGATTCAGACACGAGACGAGAGTTTGAAATCTCAACTTGTTTTTTTCCTTCTTGCAATTGTAAAGAATATTGTTCAATGTGGTTGGTTGGGACAGGTGTTTGACGGCCATGGAGGTACCGATGCAGCGTTGTTTGTTAGGAAGAACATCCTTAGATTCATCGTAGAGGACTCGTATTTCCCGCTGTGTGTCAAGAAGGCTATTAAGAGTGCTTTTGTGAAAGCTGATTATGCGTTTGCTGACGACTCTTCTCTTGACATCTCTTCGGGAACCACCGCACTTGCAGCAGTTATTTTCGGAAGGTAAGAAAGAAACGTCAAAACCCTGTTTGTTTCCGAGTTTGGTGTTTGTTTATACGAAATTTGATTTGGGACATCAAACATTCAGGAATCTCATAGTTGCGAACGCGGGTGATTGCCGGGCAGTGCTGGGGAGGAGGGGTAGAGCGATAGAGATGTCTAAAGACCACAAACCAAACAGTACATCAGAGAGAATAAGAATAGAGAAGCTCGGGGGAGTTGTCTATGACGGGTATCTCAACGGGCAGCTATCGGTTGCACGTGCCATCGGCGACTGGCACATGAAGGGTGCTGCGTGCCCCCTGACCGCTGAGCCTGAGCTTCAAGAGTCGATTCTGACAGAGGAAGACGAATTCCTGATAATAGGTTGCGACGGTTTATGGGATGTGATGAGCAGCCAGGGGGCCGTGACGATAGCGAGGAAAGAACTGATGATCCATAACGACCCGGAGAGATGCTCGAGAGAGCTTGTGAGAGAGGCCCTGAAACGGAACACATGCGATAACCTGACAGTCATTGTCATATGCTTCTCCCCCGACCCTCCCCCGAGGATTGAGATCCCGCAGTTCCGGGTGAGACGGAGCATATCCGCTGAAGGATTGAACCTGCTCAAAGGCGTTCTTGACGGGAACTCGTGAGCTCATTTTATTCGGCATAGTAGGGAGAGAGAGTAATTATTTTATTCACACGTTCGGAGTTCTTAAATATGTTATCATCGCACCTTATTCGAGATCGATCCATTTGAGACAGGATGTCTGACTCTTTGTAAATAAATTTATCAAAAAAAAAAAATGTAAACTGGTCTTATTGCCCGATGAAGACATATCACAGTCTCCAGTTTTGGAAAGAAGGAGGTGCACGTCCTTCCCGGTCTTCTCAATGCTCTAACGTCTACCCAGCTCACGTACCGCTTTGGGAGATGTGGTACACAGATTACAACAACGGGGGAAGAGGAGCAATTTACCTTTTGTTTAGTGTATATAGATATATGTATGGTCATTTGCGGATCCAGTTTGGACAACCTCCTCATATTCTCGTCGATAAATGACTGTTCAAGGAATTTATACACGTCGGATTTAACGTCCGTTAACGGATCGGGCTCTCACCGTCAAGATACGCATTGGGCCTTGTGGCCCCCCTTTCCTCTGTTCTTTGGGAAAATAATTATATGTCTACAAGTGTGTTTTAAAAATAATTAAATAAAATATATCTACTTTTATGTCATCTATTTGTCAATCTCGTACTTATGATTTTATATCTACAATTTTTAGACATTAATGTCATAAAGGTCAGATAAAATCATTTAGGATCAGCCACACTTCTACTCATTTAGCTGAGTGTTCCTCCTTTAGTGCAAAATAGCCTTATTCTCCTGAACAAAAATTATCATTTAGATATTTAAATATTTTTTTATCACCAAACTAATATTATTTAAGTTTCGAAATTAAAGCACAAACCTTTTTTAACCCATTTTTTTCTTTCTATTGTTATATTGGAATTTTATTAATTGTATAAAGTATAGCTTAGGTTGATGATGTAATGGGACTACCTAAAAACTTTGGGTTGTGCCCATTCAATGTTTGAAAAGGCAAACATAATTATGATAATACATCCATATGACATTATTATTAATTAAATGACCATTTAAATCTTAGGATAGTATCCTTTAGTTTTCCTTGGTAGGTGATTGGTATAAGTGTTACTTCACCATATATATATATATTGTTTTGGGGACTAATTAAGTAACGGACCCCCATGAGTACGCAACAACATCTGTATACCTACTGGATTTAATATCTTTCAATTTTGTTTTTGGAATTGTATATTATACCTCTACCTAATTCTTATATTTGCATCTTATGATCCATTTTATCGAAATAAAAATTATGATTTAAATTTAAAGATTCCCTAATTGTTATTTATGAAATTATCAATTATCAATGGAGCATAGCAAAATCTTGTAACGGTTAATTCGATTTTAGCGTTTCTGATTTTTTGTAATGAAATTTGATTCCAGCATAACCTAACATAGTTTCGCTTTGTCACTGCCTATTATATAATTTCAATATAAAAATTATATAAAACTATAAATGATTTATTTTATTTAACTCACATCATATCATACAAATTAATAAAACATGAAAACCCTATATATATATACAGCAAAAAAATTGTTTTTTTATTCAAGTAATAGAAAAATAGAATAGGACCAACTATCATCCATCTCAACAAACCATATCCAATAAATAATGATGAGAATTTTAATGTGGAGGAAAATAATTAATATATGAGAGTAACATTTCACATTGCAATGCACTAAAATGTGGAGATAGTCCATTGTACCATAATTCATGTTATTTGGGTTGGGGGATTTTTTTTCTTCTTCTTTTTATTTTCCCATTCTTTAACTTAAAAAAATCCCACGTGCTTGCAACGTGCACACCCATAAAAAGATGAAAATAACAAATTTAAAAGTCAAATACTATCATAACCAAAGAATTATTAATTAAAAGAAAACAATGAAAAATAGTTCAAATAATTTCGATAAAAATTATGTAAAACAATAATCGAATTAATATTTTTAAAATTGATATAAGTAATTTTTTATCTATGCAATAAGTATCTAGATAAATCTCTGTATAGCAATTTAAACGGTTTGTATTGGAACTTAAATTTAAAGTTGAACGATAGATTCAAAATATGATATTATTTGGGGTTTTATCAATTTTAATATTAACGATTTCCACTCATCTCAAATAAAATATGCTTACAAATATACATACATAAATAAAATGAATTTCAACTTTGTTTGGAAATTTTACATTCCGTTGGGAACTAACCATTTTAATGCATTCATTTACGAAGACGAATTATTTCATAATACCGCCGAATAGTTGCAGAGAAAAGTGGTTGGCCTAAAAAATTTTGAAAAAATTAAATATTCCTATATGCTATGAATTTTGGTTTAATTTATTTTAAAAAAACGAATAAATATTATTTTCTCTGTCAAGAACACAAGAAATATTTTATTTTACAATAATTTTGATTTTAAAAAAATCAATTAATGTTATATGAAAACATAACGCAAATTCAATAATTGAATTAGTAGGGTATAATAAATTTAGAAAAACAATCGTATATAATAAAAAGTTTAAACTAAAGTGGAGAGAAAAACTATGATTTATAATTAGGGATAATCACATATAAATACCTGAACTTTTTCAAAAATTCTAAATAAATACCTACACTGTAAAACTCCCAAATAAATATCTAAAATTTTTAAAACTTTCATATAAATACCTAGATTTTTAAAAAATTTCTAAATAAAACCAAATTCTATTAATGTCATTTAATTTATAATGGTATCCGACAAAAATTGATGACTCAATAGATTAACGCCGTCAAAGAAAGTTTTTTATCTGGTAAATTTTTAAAAGTTTGGATATTTATATAGAAGTTTTGAAAAATTCAGATATTTATTTGAGAGTTTTATAGTTCAGATATTTATTTGAGAATTTTGTAAAAGTTTAAGTATTTATATGACCCTTTATAATTTGTAGCCGAGGATAATGTTTTTTTAATTACAACTGGATGCATGCATTTAACTATATAGTTAAATACGAACACCAAATTTAATAAATTTTTTTTATTTTGATTTTAATAGGAAAAATATCAATGACAGAACATATTAATTATTATTGTAGAATTTATATACGTTGTTATAGAACTGTGAATACTAAAATTTAAGTTATATTATTTTTTTAAAAATGTGAACTATAATGAAAAACATTTTCCTTACACATTTCCTTTGTTTTTACTCATATTTTCGAAACATAAATAATTGAGAAGCACATTATCCGATATCTAAAAGTCTTAAAATATTTAAAATTACTATATTAGGATATTTTAGATATTAATATCCAAAATTTCTTTTTATATTCTTATATTTTTTACACCTGAACAATGCATAGAAATTAACGTATTTTGTATTTTGTTTAATAAATATCAGGATTTTTTTATAACACATTTTAAAATAATAATAAATTGTAAGTTTAAAATAAATTTAAAAAATTATAATTATGTTGAAAATGTATAGATTTCCGGCGTTGTATTTGGGGGAAAAAAAAGCGAAAAAGGTAGAGAAGGAGCGGAGATGTCGTTCATTCTATTTTATTTAACTTAAAAAAATAAATAAATAAAAGACCAATTTTAGTTTATTACTTTCTTAAAATGTTTCTCTTCTTCTTCTTTATTTATTTATTTTCTGAAAAAGACAATATTACACTCTTTATAAAAAAAAAAAAAAAAAGAAGACAATAATACTCTCTCTCTCTCTCTCGCATGACGATCGATCCCTTTCCATTAAATTAAAAAAAAAATCCGAAAATTCGGTCTTTTCTAGGTCTCTCGAGTTTCAATTCTCTCTGTTCTCTTGCGATTTTCTCAGACGTTTTCTTCTTCTTTTCTGTTCCAGAGATTTGTCGATCTTCGCGACAGCTGACAGTGTGGATTCGGGGTGAATCTCGTCGCTGTTTCCCGAGTTTATCGCACAATGTAAGTCGGTTTCTGTGAACCCTTCTTCGTTTTGTGCTGAATTTCGTCTGTGGACGGCTTCTTTCTCGGGAAGAACGAGTCAATTTTGTCGGTGTTTTTGGCCGTCGACGTGCTTCGATTTGATGTTGAAAGCGAGCTGCGTGGTGGTATTTTTAGCTGATGTGATGGTTCCTTGATGTTTTGTTCCCTGATTAGGAATCTGGATCTAGGGTTTGCTCCCCTGTTAGAGAGTGGCTTGTGATTGGTGTTTTGGAGTGGAATTCTGTGGATCTTTAGCTAATCGAACGAATTAGTCCGTGAAATCATAAAATGGGTAGTGATTTTTGGATCATTTGCAAGATACATCGATTTGGGTTCGATGATAGTGACGGAGTTTGTATATTGGTTAACCATAAAGGTATCTTTCCTTGTATGTGATGTTGTCCCATGTGTGGTTTCCTATTCGACTTGGCTTTGGATTGTGAGGTGTACAAGTAAATGTATCCATGACTGCATTTCACAGATCTTTAACATTCATGATTTATAAATTCTTCATTGGATAATCTTTTGCAGGTTTTGTTCCTTGTAGATGGAGGATAGAATGTAGTATCTCATCTGGCTTGGAGGATGTTTGGTTTTCACTCGGCGGGTCTCTTAGATGACGCATGATGTCTCCTGAAAGATCATCGGCTGAGGAATCTATCTGGCAGGATCTCGAGGTTTTGGCCGTCTCAAAGCGGCTCGCGAGAAGCGTTAGTCAGAAGCTCAAGAAGAAGAACGTTAAAAGCGACGAGGAGGATGCAAAGGGGGTCTCGCTGAATTGTCTGAATCTCTATGGTCGGGGTGGTGGCTGCAAAGTCGGAGCCGAGATGGGTGAGGATTTCGGGGATAGGAGGAGGTCGAGTGCTAGCGAGGAAGGTAAGGGACTGAAAACCATTTGTGGAATCGATGAAACTACGGTGGAATGCTTTTCGTATGGAGTGAGAGAGAGGTTTTGGAAGAAGAACAACAGGAAATACTTAGAACTCGAGGAGTCGGTCCGAAATAGCAGGATGCATATATTCCTTCCAGATGATATTCTCGAAATGTGCTTGGTTAGGTTGCCTTTGGCCAGTCTAATGACCGCTCGGCTCGTGTGCAAGAAATGGAAGCACCTGACCACTACTCAGCGTTTCCTTCAGATGAGACGAGAAGGGTTGTATCAAAACCCGTGGTTATTTCTGTTCGGAGCTGTGAAAGACGGATGCTCCTCGGGGGAAATCCATGCCTACGATGTGTCTCAAGATCATTGGAGCAGGATTGAATCCGATGTTCTTAAGGGAAGATTCATGTTCTCGGTTATGAGCATCCATGAGGAGGTTTATATAGTCGGAGGTCGTTCTACCCTGACCAACAACTATGGTCGGATGGGAAGTTCTGTCAAGACCCACAAAGGTATTTTGGTGTTCAGCCCTTTAGCCAGGTCATGGCGTAAGATCGCGTCTATGAGACACGCGAGATCAATGCCCATTGTTGGTGTTTCGGAGGTTAGTTCAGACTTCCCGACATTACCCAGTCACCAGAATCGGCAAGAGAGGCGCTTTCATCGTTCAAGGATCGGAGGAGTTTCCGATGTGTACGAAGATCCTCACAGGCTCTCGGTTAGGCGCCAGCTCAGATTCTCGGCCGACGAAAGCGAAGCTTCCTACTTAACGGTTAAGAAACACCAGAGGCTGACAAGGCAGATGAACGGAATAAACTCCAAAAGATTCGTGCTCATCGCCATTGGAGGTATCGGGTCTGTCGACGAGCCGCTGGATTCGGGAGAGATATACGACTCCGCAACAAACGCATGGGCGGAAATCCAGCGACTCCCTCTGGATTTCGGGGTCGTTTGTTCCGGGGTCATATGTAATGGGATCTTCTACGCTTATTCCGAGAACGACAAGCTAGCGGGTTACGACATAGAGAGAGGGTTCTGGATCGGGATCCAAACCTCTCCGATCCCTCCTCGGGTCCATGACTTCTACCCGAAACTCGTATGCTGCAAGCACCGGTTGTTTATGCTATCTGTGTCGTGGTGCGAAGGAGACGGGCAGATCGGCAGGAGGAACAAAGCTGTCCGGAAATTGTGGGAGCTCGACCTCATGTACCTTACATGGACCGAGGTTTCGGTACATCCGGACGCACCGATGGACTGGAATGCAACATTTGTGGCAGACCGAAACCTGTTGTTTGGGGTCGAGATGTTCAAGATTTTCGGTCAGGTACTCGATTTCTTCACCGTATTCGATGTAGCCAAGGACGAAACTACCTGGAGGCATGTCTCGAGGAACCAAATGACTCATGAGCTCGATGCATCTTCTTGCATTAATAAGACTGTTGCTTTGCTCCATCTCTAGTTTGGTTCAGGGGAAAGAAATAATATTTATTCTTTTCAGGATTTATGTTTTGGTTCGGAAACCCTTTCGGCATCTATAGAGATTCCATGTTTTCTTAGTCTTTGTTTTTTTTCCCCTGTTGTAATAACTCTTGTCCATAGATTGAATCTTGTTTCTGTTCATCTTTCGTCATAATCTTCCATAGGAATGGACATGGAAACAATGAGTCATCAACGATTTCGAAGATTCAATTGGATTCTTTTCTCTTTTTTTTTTTGGGCTTTCGCCTCTGAAAGTGTTCATGCTACAAGTTTATGGAAGAAACTCTGAAATCTTTTGGAAAATTTGGGCCTCATCTGGGATCAACTCAACTGATCTCCTCTGCGAATACGATGTGGAAGATGTGTTGAGAACTGTGAGAATCCGACCAAAAAGAAGAAAATAAACTCCAGAGTTTTGGTCTGATAAGGACAAGAAAGCAGCATCTCATGGGTTTATACATAGATTCTGCGTACCTTCTTCTTTCTGGATGTTCGGCTGATCTACCGCAAGTTGTTGAAGTGCACCCGGGCTGAAGTCCCGATCATTCAACCGAGGAAAGAAATGCATAAGCGGAAGAGGACGTTAGCATACACTGTCGAGACGGGAGCTCGGGTAAAGCGATACATAACATTTTGCTCGTTTCCGTCGGTACCTTGATTTGAGTACGGCGTGGGAAAGTGACGAAATCAGCCAAGATTTCAGAAGGTACATGAAAGGTAAATAATAAGCACAACAGACCACAATGTAACGACAAAGACCACAATGTTTGGAAGGAATACTATAATTGGGACCAATTGCAAAAATACCCTTAAATGATATATTAGATTTCAAATGATATCCTTCATCAAAAAAAGAAAAGAGACAATATCAAATATAACCTTATAAATGTAGTTTCCCTATAACACCCTTTATTAATTTATATAATATAATAAAATAAAAATAATTTCTTTTATATTTCTCTCTCCTCACTCCACCTCTCTCTCTCCCGCTCTCTCTCTCTCCTTTCTTCCGTTTTTTCGCGCCTGTATTACGCTCTCTCTCTCTCTCTCTCTCTCTCTCTCTCTTCGAGCTCCTCCTCTACAGTGTGAATTCTCACCAAATTTGTTGAGAAAAACAAGCGAAATCTCCAATAAGCATAGATCTCGTGTATAGGTAAATTTTCTTCTTTAAATTCCGTTATACACTTTGGGCATTTAGGGTTTTTTTTATGAAAAGGTTTTGTTGTTTTCATGTTTATATTCGACCCATATGGTATAAATGAGTAAAATGGAACATATATATCAATAGCATATCGTATTTTGTAGACTTAATTGAGTTGAATCAATATTATCATGATTCACATTAGTCAAATTGGTCACATTAATTAAACTATATCAAACTGGTCAAACTTTTCAAAATAATCAGAATCGGCAAACTCGTCTAACCGGTCATATTGACGAAACTGGTCAAACTGGTCATACTCGGCAAACAGGTCAAACTCGTCAAACTGGTCATACTCGTCAAACTGATCATCATATATCTCACATTTTGTGTTTATTTTATACAGTCATAATGGATGCAAGTGATGAAAGAATGACGATTATTTATTACAAGTCTGGTGGCAAGTGGACATTGAAT